GCTGGGATCCAGGTTTGGGGCAGCTCTGCAGGTGGAGTAAATAAAATTGTTTTTAAAAAAAGAAAAAGCAAAAACCACACCAAAGAAACCCCACATAAAAACCCCAATCAACCAAAGAAAACCCCACAAAAAAACAAAACCCAAAAAATCAAAACAGAAACAACCCCCAACAAACAAACAAACAAAACAAAAAAAAACCCCTCAACCTAGAAAGCAGAAGGAATAAAATAACTCTTTCAAGAAGAGAAATATCCCCATGTGGGACAGTTAATCACTGTCAGCCCAGATGTAGTGACAGGTGAATTCCCTTCCCACCTCCAGGCTGTGGGCACCAATATTCCACTGAGAAGCCTCTTTCCCCTTTAGTTTTGATTTTCTGAAGGAATTCCCATTCCCAAACAAAGCCTAAAATTGTCAGTCTCACCATTTGCCCAAATTTGGGGAAGATTTTTCAAGTGGATGAAGGCAGCAGGCTCCTGACAATGAGAGGGCTCAGTGCCAAAAATTCCAGCCTTGCTCTGATGCTCAAACTGTTTCACTGATTTTGCTGAAATCTTCCAAAATAATTCAGTGGGAGGTGGATACCCAAATTTATAATTTGGATTAACCAAAAGAAATCCTGTTACTGGAGAGGGAATTTTCATAAGGACAAGGGGGATGATTTTAAATTGACAGAGGGCAGGGCTGGATGGGATTTTGGGAATTAGGAATTGGCAGGGTGGGGAGAAGCTGGGCTGGAATTCCCAGAGCAGCTGTGGCTGCCCCTGGATCCCTGGCAGTGCCCAAGGCCAGGTTGGACACTGGGACAGTGGAAGTGTCCCTGCCATGGATGGGCTTTGAGGTCCCTCCCACCCCAAACCATTCTGGGATTCTGGGATGGAGGAGCTCTGAATTCATGTATAAATGTTGTAGCTACTGCAGTTGGACAGCTCTTAATCACTTAATTCCTGTAATTGTTCCTGCTGTTGGTTCATGCATTGCTGTGTTCAGCTGCAAGAACAGGATTAAATAAATATATTCTGATTATTCCTGAGTTTATCACAAAGAACTAACTAGGATGGTACAAATATTGCTCAAATCCATTTTGGGTATAATTCCACTTGTGGAATCAACCAGATCTGAACTTGGCTTGGATCTTCATTTGTTTTTTTCAAGTTTTGCTGAGCCAAAACTGAATAGAAGAACTCCAGAACAAATGAACCTAAACTGAAAGCAAAGGGGAAACTGTATGAACTTAGAATGATCCATACATTTGTTTTTGTTCCTGATTATCACAGAATCCTCATGGAATGCTTTGGGTTGGAAGGGACTTGAAAAATCATCCAGTTCTAACCCCTTCCACTTTTCTACCTGATTATTTCTGGGACATCCTTTAACAAATAGATTTAAATTGTTTAGAATAATTCCATTTCTATATTTGCCTCAACCCAGAGCTGAAATGTATGGATTGATTGGTTTAGAATGACAGCATTCCTCATTCAGAATAACCATAGGGAAGCTGGGGTTAGCCAAACTTTTTTTGGGTACCCAGAACATGTTATTCTGCTTTTTGGGTTTTCTTTATTAGTTTTGAAATCTTTGTTTGGAGGACACAGAATGGTTTGGATTGGAAGGAATTGGACTTAAGGAATTCAGTGAGAAAAGTTCTGCAGTTTATACAAAATCATGAAAAATCTACACTTTTAAGGAGCTCTGACATGATTAAATCTATTAAAAAAACAATTTCAAATCTTGTTCATATGTTGGACAATTTTGAGACCATTCCATGGTTCCTATGAGCACATTTGATAAATTGTTTTTCAGAGCACCTGGGTGGAAAGGCTGTTCTTTAACACCAAGGAGGGAGAAGAAGAAAGAAGTGATGCCCTGAATAACAGGAAGTAAATTGAAATCCATTTTTTTGGTGGAAAAATCAGCAAATCCCAGCACTGCAGCACACAAGTGGTGGTGTTCCTGAAAGGAGGAAGGTAATAAAAAAGAAATTAAAATCTCTGCACCACATAGAGGGACTGTATACACATTAAATCTCTCCAGTATTTTCTAAATCGTTCCCCACTGCACAAAATTTTCCTTTTCATTAAAAATTATGCTTTAAAGTATATCAGACTTCAAAGAACTAATGAGAAAATACTACAGAAGGTAACAAAATTAACTTATTTATTCATACAGCAAGGTGAGAAAAGCTGATTGTGATGAGACAAAGCTGGGGGAGCATCCAGGAAAAAAGTCTAAATAAATTGTTTTTATTGAGAGAGGTACAGTCAAAGTAAATAACCCCATAAAATATAGTATTGGTCAAGGATTTTTAAAAGTTTTTAAGAATGAACTAATTTCCTGCCAAAATAGACAGTTTTGAAGGGAATTCCCTCAGAGGAACTGTCATTGGATACTTTAAAAAGGGCCTGAACTGCCTGAAAATTGCACTGAGCTTCACTTGCCACTCAAGAGAATTAGCAAATAAGGAAAATAATGTTATGAAACGTGTAGGGGGTGACAAAAACAGTGGATAAAACAAAACAAGTGGTTTAGACATTAAAAAGTACATTGCAAGAGTTTGGCAGGGAAAGAAAATAATGACTGAATATCCCGAATAGAAAATACTTAGGAATCAGAAAAAAAAAATAATTAGGTATTAATTAGGTAATTTTTCCTAGTAAAAGGTTGTTACTGGATGTTATGAGATTCTGAATGATGATGGGCAAGTTGATATCTTTAAAAATGTTGTAAAAAAAACCCTTTTTACAAAATAGTGAATTTTACAGGCTTGTGTGTGAGAAGTGATGGATATGGAGAAATTGTTTGGGAATTTGGCAGATAATCTATGGCAAGATACAGGTATGGAGAATAAAAACACAAATAAATACAAAAGAAATGCACATTCCAACTAAAACTTGTATATTTTATCAGCAGCACTGAATTGGAGTAGCAATGATTAAAAAAAAGTGTTTTGTTAAAAGCATTTTCAAATAATATGAAAATAATCATGAAAAGCTAATGTGTGAATACTGACTGACTCTTTGAGTGCTGATAGCCCTTGAAAAACAATTTGAGATTTAT